CCTCATGTATATTTGAAAACTGCCAAGGAATATTTCTTTTCTCAAAATTACAGATAAGTTCTGTTTGTTATACTTTAATATTTTCCCAATCATTTCAGCCTTCATCTACCCAAGTAGTAATTGACTTATTAAAATTTCATTTTCCTGGGTTCAATAACTTGTATATTTTGAATTCACTGGCTTAAGTAGCAAGAGAACACAAAAAGGTATTCAGATAAGATCTGATAGTCGAGATTTCAGATAACTGAGGAAATAGTCAATGTAATTAGTAAACATTAGGGGACATGATCTTATTTCAGGTAACAAGATATTTCAGATCATAGAGAATTTAAACAAAGTTGTCCAGTCCAGTACAGGCTCAATCCTGCACCCCTTATGTATATGCAGGCCAGCATATATATGCACCCCTGCACCCCTTATATATATGCAGGCCAGCACATCCCTCGCCCGCGCCACTTCCCGCCGCCCCCATTGGCCCAGGACGGCGAACCGTGGCGAGTGGGGGCCACGATCGGCCGAACCTGCCACGTCAGCAGGTAAATAAACTGGCCCGGCCCGCCAGGGTCCTTACCCTGGCGAGCAGCATGCCAAACGTTGCCGACCCCTGATATAGAACAAAAGCCTGCCTCATTGAAGTCAATGGAAACTGGATCATGCTTGTAGACAGCAAATCTGAGGAAACCTAAGATGATTCTACAATAGAAAAATTCAATTTAATCTCTGTGGAAGGATGCTGATGTGCCTGATCTGATGTACAGTTTGACTATGACTCATTGCTCTGCCGGGTCATAGCGCCCACTCCTTCTGGATTGTAATTATATATAACTGTATTTTAAAGTTCCTTGATTTTAAGGAACCTCACAGCTCCTTTATCAATTCTAGAGGTCCTCTTGTCTCTTCATTTTAAATTGAGACTTCACCATTAAAAAGCTGGTTAAAGAACAGCCCAGCTTACTGAACATTACTGTGAAGGGATCATTAATTCACATTCTCCTCCCTTGCTTCACATTTTGCCTCAATCCAGTCTTGAAAAAAAAAGTGAAAGAAAATAAATTATTTTTAAAAATTAGCCTTTGATTAAATACAGCAGTTTAGTCTTTTCTTATTTATAGAATCCCGTTAAACTCATGTGAAATCCTAGTACTCTTTAGCATTCTTACATTGGTAAGAATAGATTCATCAGTGTTGGAGGCTGTGCTTTTGTAACCCTGACAGACCCCGGTTGTTGGCAGGCAGGATTGAACCTACGGCTTCTGGAGCTTAGTGTAGGAGCCTCTACTTCATGAGCTAAAAACGATATGGCTTTTAGCGAAGGTTGTAGAGCAGACTCATTAATCTCTAAGTGGTCTCAGTGCCACTAGAGGAGCCAGAACACCACACCCAGAAGGTGTGTGGGTTGCACTTTCAGGAATGGACCCTTTCTTTTCAGGAAAGGCTCTCTCTTTTCTTTCTGCTTTGTTCCTGTACAATTGTCTTCCTCTCCTCAGAGGTAGTGGTACACAAGCAAATCAGCCAGTCCATTATAACATGGTGTGTTTGAAAAGTAAAGGGCTGTATCTGGTTAGAAGGGTAGTGATCTGCTTTTATTTATATAGTGCACTACTAAAAGCGGTATTTAATCTAAAAGACCCATATGGTATCTGTAACACTTCTTGGGGATACCTATGGTTGTGAGGCACCTTTCTACCATCTGCTCTTAGTGCAAGGAAGTCTTGTCTGTACCTGCTAGGGGTCAGCTCCCTGACTTCCCCAGCAACACAAGCTCTCCCCACTCAGCCCAGGTAAGCAATAGGCGCACTCCATCCCCTGAGCACACCGAGCATCCCCTGGAAGTGTCTAGCCCCTGTTCCACTGGGCACTCACAGAATTCACAGATCGGCTACTCCCAAAGGAATAGTACACACCAGCTTACTGGTTACACCTTATACCACAGGTCCACTTAACAGACAGCACTTAGATTTGTGTGCAATGAAAACATGTAAAAGAGTATTTAACAAAGAACAGAAATTCTAGAAGAAGCTAGCAGACACTTGCATAGTCTGCATGTAATAGCAGGAATCTCCACACCAACTCAAAATAGGTTGACACTGAGGGGCAGACTTGGGAAGCAATTATTAGAACCATGCTTACACAGACTGAGTGACCCAATACCCCCTCATACGAGGTGAGGGTCTAGCCTAGAGGCTAGAATAGCAGTCAGGACAATGGCCCAATAGTTTGGAGTGTGAATTCCATTCCCCAATGCACCCACCCCTATATTCTTTGGACAGAGCCCAGTGAATCAGTTACTCTGGATTCACTGGTGTAACTGAATGAAAAATCTGACCAATCATTTCTCTAACCTGCCATTGCTTGGGGCACAGGCAGATGGAAATAGTACATACTAGGTTAAGTGATGATCAGAATCAAGGGATAAAACAACTTCCCCTAAAACAGCGAAGAGTATTAGGGAGATTGATAGGAAACAAATGGCAATTAAGTTTTACCAGAAGGACATATAGAAGAATAAAAATCACATCAGCATATAACAAGAGGCAGACAAGGAAAAATTAGTAATGTGCAGCATGTATACACAGGTGCTTAGCAGGCAAAAGATAGGTCAAATTTAAAGGCCTTCAAGAACGTGCTATACCAATCCAAAGATTATCATAACAACCACCCCATTTGGTAAACATTCCATTTAAGTAAATGGGAGTTAATTTCTTTTACATTTCTCAGAACTAGAACCGGTCTTTAATTTAAAAGATAGCTAAAAACATTTTTACACATAATGCTTGTGATTTTTTAACAACATACTCATCGGAGCAGTGTTAATGTAAATCTCTGCATACTAGCTACGGGACACGTCAGCGATATGTCATGAATGTAGCACTCCAGCTTGTGGATGAAATGGAAGGTGGCAGTTGAAGATAATTTGTGGATAATGAGACATGTTCTTTACTTGCAGGCTCATAATCAGCACATTTGTTTGCCATAGTTCAGCCTAAATATCAGTGCACAGTCAGCTATATACTATCTCACAGTGTAGAATTGGACTTGTCAAAAGAAAACCACAAATGAGTGACAGGGAGTTATGCCTGCATCCAGGGGCGGCTCTATGTATTTTGCCGCCCCAAGCACGGCAGTCAGGCGGCTTTCGGCGGCATGCCTGAGGGAGGTCCGCCGGTCCAGCGCTTTCGGTGAACCCACCGCCAAATTGCCACCGAAACCACGGGACCGGCGGACCTCCTGTAGGTATGCCGCCCAAGGCAGCCTGACTGCCGCCCTCACAGTGACCAGCAGGCCGCCCCCCGCGACTTGCCGCCCCAGGCACGTGCTTGGTGCACTGGTGCCTGGAGCCGCCCTTGCCTGCATCCAGCTGGCTATACCTAGTAAATGCTTCCTTTGTATCTCTCCACAGTGTGAAATCTTATTTTAGGCAGTTTTGTAGCACATATCCTTGTCCCATCACCAAAGACTATTATAATTAAGAAGTGGTTGGCACGAACTGTGCGTGATCTAATTACTCACAATCACAACATTTTACGAATAGTTTCTTTCCTATAGACAATATGCCACAAATCCCTAAATATATTTCTTTTAATCATCTAATCGTCAGTCCATTTATGTAACATTTCTGACTTTTATTGCAATAACCTAATGACACTGTTCCTACAGATATCCCCCTTCTGAATCCAGATGACCTGTAAATGCTTACAAATCAGGCTTAACCGCTCATTTATGTTCTCCTCCAAAATTAAATGACAAAAGAGGGTGGAGGATTACTTCAGATAAAATCATTTTTGAGCCTGGAAATATTTTTATTCTTTCCAATTTGTGAAGTTATTTTGTAAGTGCACAAGCAAAACTATTAAATCTCAGTATGAACAAAGCTTTTGTTCTAAACACAAGAACAAACAGCCAGATTAGGTTCAAAGCTGAAGGCTCTCCAAAAAAGGGTTGAAAGGGTAAACCTTCACTTCCTGTGCGGGTTTTTAAAGTGCTCTTTACACTAATCAATTTCAATGCCTGATAATTATACAGTCCACCTCCAACACACCAAAACACAAGGCCTATTGTACAAGATGAAGACCTATTGATTCCTTACATTTCGTATCATGCCTCCAGTGGCCAACACCTGATTCTTAAGAAGTAGTTGCAAAACCCCCTTTGTATACAGACAATTGTATAATGCTGCCTGGTGACAGAGACTCCTTCCTGACCTCTTCAGGCAAAAGGGTTTATGCCCTGAAGCCTGAAGTTCAGTTGCTCTTAGAGCACTTTACATAACGGCAAGTGTTATCAGTGGTCTGAAAAGGAAAGCTGCATACTTCGGGGTGTTATGTTTTGTGTGTCAGGGCAGCAGGCGTGGTGAGAAGAGAAGGGAGTGGGCTCAGAGAGGCAGGCACAGTGGCTGGGAAATGAATAGAGCAGCCAAGCTGAGCAACTAGCACAGGGTGACGACGCGCTTCGGGGCAGGGTATTAAAAGATGCTCAAGAACACAGCCACCTAAAAGAGCATCTGATCCTGGAACGGGATTCAGGGCCTCCCTCCTCCCAACTGCTCCATCCCCTTTTTCTCTTCCATTCTCCTTCCCACCACTCCCCTCCCCAGGGCTGAGGAGAAGGGGAGCAGAGGGGCCTCAGCCCAGGGTGGAGGGAATGCCTGTAAAGTCTGTATATCTAAAGTGAATGGGCGTGATCGTGCCCCACTTTCCTTTTCACGGGCCTGGCCCTCCCTACTAATGTCCTGCTCCCTCCTCTCCGCTCCCCCTTTCCCTCTAGTCTCCTCCAGCTCCCCCTTTCCCCTCCCCCTCTAGTCAACTTCTCTTAGGGTGACCAGATGTCCCGTTTTAAAGGGACAGTCCCATTTTGGGGGACTTTTGCTTATATAGGCGCCTATTCCCCCCCGGCCCGTTTTTTCACAGTTGCTATCTGGTCACCCTAACTTCTCTCCTCCCCCAATACCTCTGGCGAGGCCTCGCCCAGGCTGAACTACATTCCCCACAATGCCCCCTGTCCTCGCGAGAGCTGGGAGCGGGCGGAACTCTCGGTGCCAGGCGCGGAAGTCCCTGTAGCTTGGAGACGGTGCCGGGGCCTGCCCGTGACTCACTGGACGGAGCCGCCGCCCGCTATCATGGCCGAGACTGACCCCAAGACCGTGCAGGATCTCACCGCCGTGGTGAGGGGCCCGGGCCGGGGGTAGGCCTGAGGCGGCGCAGCGGGCGGCTCCGGGCTCGGCGTTTAGCCCGAGTGGGGCGGGGCCCGGAGTCCTCCGAGCTGCGGCCGGCGATGTTCCCTGCGCAGGCCCGGAGCACCGAGAGCGGCCCAGCGCCGGGCTCTGGAGCCCGAGGAGGGCCCGGGGTGGTGGGCAGGGAGCGGGGGGCGGCAGGGGAAGCAGTGACTGAAACCAGGGGACCCCGGAATGCCTGGTGGGGGGGGACCCCATTAAATCAGACCTTCAGGAGCGACTGTATCATGTTAACCCCTCCGCTCCCTGCCCCCCGTTATAGCAGGTGTGGAGACCCAGGCTGTGCTTGACATCTCAGGGAAGACCCATTTCTAAGCCCCCGTCGTCCCCACCCTACTTGAGAGCTCATCACCGCATTACAAAAAGCATCAGATCGAGAGAAAAGGGATAAAACCCGACTCCTCCCCCCGCAGTGTCGATCTGGTACCGTTCATTTGCACCACCCATTAGCAGCATTAATCCTCAGGCCTGCCCCGCTGAGGGACCCATGGTGGGGAGGGCAAGTTACCCAAACGCGCACAGGGGCTTTGGTGTCAAATCCAGGATTACACCATAGGCGTTCCCAAACCATCCCCCTCTGGCTCCTGTAGCTCTTTGTGGAGGGGTG